TTAGGATTTATAGAATGTAAATAAATTCAATTCAATTCAATTCTTCTGGTTCCACTTCCAAGGTTCCTGGCCAATTAGGTCGATCATATAGTTCTGTAATATAATTTTCCCAAATTTTCAGCATTTGCCTCAGATCTACTATTCTATTCCCTTGGGAGTCTTCGATGCCAATATTTTGAATCCCAGGGTTCTCTTTCCATATATAGATGAAATTATTGTAGATCGTCAGTGACAAATCAACTACCGGTCAGATGTTTTGCGTTCATCAGATACTGGAGAGAAAATTGGGTTGCAATGAGACAGTACATCAGATGTTTGTAGACTTCAAGAAAGCCTATGATTTAATTAGGAGGGAAGTATTGTACAATGTTCTGATAGAGTCTAAGATAACCATGAAACTAGTTAAGCTGATTAAAATGTGTTTGAACAAAACGTATGGTAAAGTCCATATAGGTAAGCATCTGTCTGATAATTTTCCTATCCAGAATGGTCTCAAACAAGGAGATGTTTTATCTCCACTACTTTTCAACTTTGCTTTAGAATATGCCATTAGGAAGTTCAGGAAAACCAGGTGGAAATGAAATTAAATGGGACACATCAGCTGCTGGTCTGTGCTGATGATGTGAATCTACTGGGTGAAAATATAGATACCATAAAGAAAAACACATAAACTTTAATTGATGCTAGCAAGGAAGTTGGTCTAGAAATAGACAAAGAGAAAACTACTTATATGTTGCTGTCTCATCACCAGAATGAAGGGCAAAATTATGACATAAAGATACCTAACACATATTTTGAAAATGTGGCACAGTTCAGATATTTAGGAACGACTATAACAAATCAAAACCTGATTCAGGAGGAGGTTAGGGAGAGATTGAATTTGGGTAATGCTTGCTACCATTCAGTCCAGAACCTTTTCTCTTCTTGTCTGCTGTCTAAAAACATAAAAATTAGAATATACAAAACTATAATTTTTCCTGTGGTTCTTTGAGAACAAGGTGCTGAGGAGAATATTTGGACTGAAGAGAGAAGTGACTGGAGGTTGGAGAAAACTGCATAATGAAGAGCTTCATAAATTGTACCCTTCTCCAAGTACAATTAGAATGATCAAGTCAAGGAGAATAAGATGGGCAGGCATGTAGCACGAATGGGGAGAAGTGGTGGAATGCATATAGGATACTGGCAGGGAAGCCAGAAGGAAAGAGATCACTAGGAAGACCAAGTTGTAGGTGGGTGGCCAATATTAAAATTGATCTTAGAAAGATAGGACGGGATGGTAAGGTATGGATTGGATTGATCAGGCTCAAGATAGGGACCAGTGGAGGGCTCTTGTGAACACAGTAATGAGCCTTTGTGTTCCATAAAATGCTGGGAAGCCCTTGAGTAGCTGCACAACAGGCGGCTTCTCACAAAGGATTCAGCTGCATGAGTGAGTGAGATCATATGAACATTTCGAAACATAATGAAACAAGAAAGTGTGTACACAATAATTCATAAATATACCAATGCCTGAAAATGGGAAGAATGAAATTCAGGTCATTGAAAGCCTCCTGTATCAGACTTCAACAAAATTTGTGGAACAGTTCATGGGATAAATAGAAAATTCTATTTATGGCCTGGCGTGAACTAGGCTTTATTTTGGATCAATAGGACTAAAAATCAGAACTGCCTGACAATCTCTGATGGAAGTCTTCCATATCCAGTTTCAGTAATATCTACACAATATCTTATGGGATACAGAAAAAAGTTAATTTATAGCTTTATGTAAACCAGGCTTCATTACGTATCAATATGACAAGCTGGAACTGGCTGACAACTTTAATTACTTCCCTGTATCAGATTTTAAGAAAATATGGTAAACAGTTTTAGTGGTGATACTAGGTCACAGACAGCTAGGCATACAGATGGACAGACTTTATCTCCACAAAAGGTATTCTTCTTTATTTTGTTACCAGTGCCTAAAAACTCTGCATGAACTTACTGCTGTCTCAAGGATTCCAACAGCCTATATGAAGGAAGGAAGCAAAGGACACCATATGGTATCACTTTACAGACTTGAAGTATAGTGCTTCCTAGCTCCTGCCTGAAGTCGGACATGTCTGTAAGACGGTAAGAAGCTTGTAACTCTCTGCCTCCTGGTCCAGAACCAAGGGCTCCTACCCATAACTGAAAGCACATACACAGAACACAATGTGCAGAATACAAACACATTAGAGATGACTGCAAAGTGAATGGTTCAAAAGAAAAGGCATGAAATTGTACAAAAATTTACAGAGTAAGATATCAAAATACATCCTCAGGAATAATCAATATTATTGCTATTATTACAACATGAGGAACTTCATAACTTGCACTCTTAATGAATTATTATTAGGATGATGAAATCTGGGAGTAAGAGACAGGATATATAGCACACAGGAGGAGATGAGAAATGCCTACAGAATTTTAATTAATAGTTCAGAGATGGTAACATACCTGATTCTCATCTATGATATGAAGAGCCTGCAATTCATTGGCAAAAGTAGTACCAAGCTCAGAGTTGAATGTAACCAGAGGTGCGAGTGTGCCTGAAGTTAGTACAATGCTTCGCACCACATCAGCAATTGGCCGGAACACAACACCAGGATTCATGCATAAAAAATTTAAGTAATGCCCCCAGTTTGAAGGAGTATCATCTTCTTCTACTATCAACATCGACCTGCCCCTTGCGTTTGGCCAATCATTAGGCATATCCTGAACATAACAACCACATATATATGTCAGTTTGACGCTGGTTTCTCAGTTCTATATAGTATGAAACTGTCAATAAAAACCATAAATAAATAAATAAACAAATATGTATACATTGCTTCTATTTAGAAGAGAATGTAAGCTTATATTGTTAATCCTAGTACCTGTTAGTGGGGTCTGGTGGACCCCAAGGAATCCTTCTTCCTATTGTGCATGCACACAGTATGTTGTAATGGGATGCCTCCTAATGAGAATTTATTTGATTGGAGGACTTCTCAGTGTGTTATTCTGTTGTGCTTTTGGTTTTTGTACTTCACATCAAATTTGGCAGTGGGGTTTCTGAGACCTCACCATCAGGTGAGTAGCAAAAGTTCGCATTTTTCCTTCTTATGAACTTTCAAATAATTACATAGGGCGTAAAGTAAAGATGTAAAGTACGGTAAGATGCAGAAATAAATAAGTCCTAGCTCTCTTTATATATCTCTACAAATTCCATGTTTGTACAAAAGATTCCACAAAGAAAATAATCCTCAAGTCTGGTAGTAAGATGAGTACTTCATTTTCTATGTTTCATTTCATGTTCCAACTTCAGATAAACACATAACTGTGTAAAACACAAAAATTAAATGTTTCCTAACTCAAGTAAACACATTTCTAAATTATATTTAATTATTTAATTACATTTTTCGTAGCAGAAGGTTTTACAAAAAGAAAAAAGAAAAAGAAGAAGAAGAGAGAGAGCGAGAGAGAATTTGGGGTTATATCAGATGGCAATTGGTGAGATGACCGAGCATTCGGAGTTCAAGTACTGGCTTGTCTACAATTTTATTTTTTCCATGTTGTTCAGACTGGCTCTGGGGTTCACCTAACCTCTTACCCAATGGGTACTGGGGGACTCTTTCCCTAGGAGCAAAGCGGCCAGGGCGTGAAGCTGACCACTCACCTACAACTAGTGCTGAGGTCAAGATAATGTGGATCTATACATCCACTCCCCCATATGCCTTCATGGTGTAGTGCTTAATTAGTTAAGTACAGGGACAACTTTATCTTCACCTATCAGACCACAGGAACAGGTGCATGCAACAAATTTGGGATCAACAGGTTCCAGGGTTGATAACTTTGGAGAATTATCCTTTAAGGACTAATGGTCACTATGTTGAAGCATAAATTTTAGTTCCTGGGTATGTCTGGCCACACTGGCAGGTCATATCTGAACATACATGTGTGCCTACAAACACAAAGAAAGAAGACTGTAAAAGCTTACAGTGTACGCTTAATAAGAGCATTCTGAAGAAGGAATTACAAACAAAATCATTAAGATTATGATGATATCTTCTCTCTCAATAAAAAAAAAACATGAAATTCACATGCAGTTATCCATGGTTAGGTTATGAGCCCCAAATCTATATGCCTAGTCAATGAATAAACAGTCAGTATTAAGGTGTCAATGCTTGCTGTTACTTTACAATCAAAACAAAATTAAATATATATAAATTGTTTAATATATTTGTATTGTAACAGGGCAATACATTAAAAGAATAAAACTTATCTAATTTAATATGTGTACGCGCGTGTGCGTGTGCGTGTACGTGTACATGCGCGTTCATGCACTGGCAATTTCATTTCCAGAGAAGAACAAGATTAGGGTGCTTTAATGGCCCAGAAAAATACCGTTTTCTAGATTATCTTCATCATTTTTACTTATGCTATTGCTATTGCTGTTGTTGTTGTTGTTGTTGTTGTTATTGCTGCATCATTATCATCATCATCATCGGTGACGGTGGTGGTGGTGGTGGTGGCAGCAGCAACAACAACAGCTTGCACGCGATTCTTTTGTGGCCGTATTTCTCAAAATACTCTTGGCTATCTGTAGTGCATTTGCACTCCAAAAGGAAAGGTGACCAAGTGGCAATATTGCCAGTAGTACTCACATTCCTGGAAGTAGAGCTCACAACTGAATTCTTGCACACTACAACATAATAGTCCCATATATGTTCCATGTCATTATCATACATGAAGCCAAGAACCAGGGACAGCCCTTCAAGAACAAAAGTTGTGGCTTGTAACACACCATGTCGTTCAAAGGACTCCTTCGTATGCAGCATATTCTCTCCACTGTTTGTCTCTGTGACTGCATCCACTGCACATCTCTGCTCATAGAAAAAATACCAATTAAACAAAGTTTTTCTTTATGCTTGGCTATCTGCAAAACAATGCTATGCATAGCTGTGAACATTAGTCTCTTACTTTTACAGACCATCATATAGAAGTGCTCAAATATGTGCTAGGGTGAATATATGAATCTAAAATTAGAAAAAGAAATATAATGACAACTTCATGAATTACTCTGAAGATAATTATCAAGTGAAGAAAATTAAGATAAAATGGGCAAAGAATCATGGTGCAGTAATATCAGGAAAACTCGGAAGACAAACACAGGAGTGTGACATTAAAATACATTCAAAGGAAATAGAGTGTGGAAAGGTATAGCAAACTTGGAATTTTTAAAGAACAGGCTGTTATTAAATTTTACATTGAGTACTCTCTTATAGAGGGGCACGCGGAAGCATGGTTGAGGCACTATGCTACAAGCCAGAAGGTCACGGGTTCAAGTCCCAGCAAGTTCATTGCATTTTTTTCAATTGACCTAATTCTTCCAGCCACACTATGGCCCTGGGGTTGACTCAGCCTCTAACAGAAATGAGTACCAGGAATATTCTTGGAATAGTGTGGCTGGAAGAATTAGGTCAATTGAAAAAATTCCAGTGACTTCATTGGGATTCAATCCTGCGACCTTCTGGCTTGTAGCATAGTGCCTCAACCAACTACGCTACTGCGTGTGCCCCCTGACCATTTAATTAAAGACCTAAATATACCTTTCAGTCTGTCTCCATAGACATTAACAAAAATTACAGTTATAAAAATTCTATATAACGTATCACGGGGAACTTTGGCAGAACAAGCCTTTGCACACCAGTTTATATGTTTAATATGGTTTTATTACTGGCTGTGAGAACTAAAGAACAGAAGCAAATAAGAATATTACAATGAAATGATTTTACTGTGTTCAGATGTCAAAATTATCTGGCAATCTACTTTGGTGAAAGCTCCAGTTCACTATGGTTATTTAAATTAGGGCATAATTACTTTCTTCCACACCCTTTCCAATTCATTATTCACTATCATCCTATCATTCAATGCTATATTGTCTCAAGATACTGAAATCATTCTTAAATAAACCATAACTATCAAATAAATCACAGTTAACAATGAAAAACAACTTATACTTTCAGTATACTTATGATGGTCATGAACACAGCACACAATGTCTGCACTTCTCCCTGCTCTTCTTATTGAAACTCACCTTAAACTCTATTATACTTTCGAGGTCGATGCCATGTTCTTCAAAACTTGCCACGGCATCTGCTCCACCAAAAGTGCTGGATTCCATCCTCTCCGTTTCAGTTTCATAATGCTCTGTAAGCTGTATCGTCTGTGACATCCATTTCATAAGGCTACTTAGGAACCATGCCTGTAATAATAGAAGAGATTGTACTGGGAAGCTAAGCATAAATACAAATTCGTACAATACACCCAGCAGTGGAGATGAAGAAATATCATCAATACTTGAATAGCATCCCAGGCAAGGTAAGGAAAAGTTGTCTCTGTGCTTAACCGAGCACTACATCATTAAGGTATGTGGAAATACAACACATTTTTAATATTGGTGTTATATAGAGGTCCATGTTAGGTGGGTCCCTTGTCACCACAGCATGGCATGTCCTCAGGTTGTGGATGGAGGAGACAGCCTCCAGATATGGTGGGTAGCTGCAAATATATTGAATAAACAGTCACAGAGAGATGACAAGGAGTGGTCCTCCAGCTTGGGGGTTGGATGATTGACTAATAACTCCTCATGGTAAGACATCAGCTTGTTATGAAATGTCACAAAGAGTCTCAAACTTGAAAAAAATTCTTTGGATAAACGACCTAAGATAAGGAAAATGGACATGTGATTTGGTATGTAGAGTGTCAGGAGCCTGTATACAGAAAGTTCACTCATGACAGTTGTGAAAGAAATATCAGAATATGAGGGTCATACTGAAAGTCATGAGCAACAATTTTTTGTAAAGTAACATGCTTTATTATTGACAAATCAAATACACAACCTCAATCTACACACCTTTCTTTATTTTTCCACATAATCGCCACTTCTTTGTACACATTTCTCCTAGCGTTCTGGGAGTTTGAAAATTCCCCTTCTGTAAAATTCTGTTCCAGCCATTCGAAGACACTGACGCACTGCTTTCTGAATTGTCCCCCTTGTTTCAAAACGTTGTCCACGCAGCTGATCCTTCACAAATCCGAAAAGATGGTAGTCAGAGGGTGCCAGGTCATGGCTATAGGAGGGGTGTGGAAGAACTTCCCACCTCATCTTTGCAATTGCTTCCAATGTGAACTTTGTTGTCTTCGGTCAATAACCGCAGGACCCAACAAGCACAGACTTTCCTATGGCCCAAGCTTTCAATCATCTCCTGTACTGCACTGTGCCCTATTCCAAGTTTTCGGGCTATTGTGTCCACAGTCACACGCCTGTCATATTCAATGATCTCATCCACTTTTTTCTTGTTGTGTTCAGTTGAGGCTGTTCAAGGACGACCGCTCCGAGGCTCATCTTATGTTTCACCCATCTTCGAATACTGCACGCACCCATGCACACACTTCCATAAGCACGCTGAATTCAGAAAGCAGTGCATCAGTGTCTTCGGATGGCTGGAATGGAATTTTACAGAAGGGGAATTTTCAAACTTCCAGAACGCTGGGAGAAATGTGTACAAAGAAGTGGTGATTATGTGGAAAAATAAAGAAAGGTCTGTAGATTGAGGTGGTGTATTTGGTTTGTCAATAGTAAAGCATGTTACTTTACAAAAAATTGTTGCTCATGACTAGGGCCCGGATTTTTATGACCTAAAAACTATAAATATATGCATGCACTTATGACCCAAAATTATGTCAAATATGACCTAAAAAGTGTAAAATATGACCTTAAATATTAAATGGGACATAAAATTTCACAATTTTAATTAAAGATAAGAATAAAATAAAGAATAAAGGTGATGAATATATGATAGTAGGTCCTACTTACCAAATTAGCCCTATTATGTCTCTGAAGGAAAGAAAACTGATGGAATTTCGACATTTCGTACTGGATTAAACCATTCATTGCTTTCTTTTTAATACTGATATTTGCGTTCATATTTTAGACAAACACTGGTGCACATGGTATGAACACTAACTTAACTCTGTTATCTAAAAACACCATTTAAAAGAACACAAGCTATTCACGTCTCAATTTTCACTGTTACAATTGCAATTTATAACTACATGCATTTTCAAATTTTCAAATTTGAAAGATCGCCGATTATCACTAAGGATAGTTTTGTATTTGGAAAAACTTCGTTCCACATCACATGATGTGACAGGAGCATATTTGAAGAATGTCAAGTCGTTTGGTGACAGTTCTGTATCATCTTCGAATGTTGCTAGTTTACCGGAAAGTATATCTGCAATCTTGCATAATGTTGAATAACCAGCATTCCGATGAAGAACACTTTCTATTTTGGTTTTAATCCTGTCACTTATTTCACCACGAGTTCGGTTTAGTTCATTCTCAATGCTCTTTACAGTGTCCAACGCGTCACAGAGTTCAGTCCCTACAAATTCCAGGCGAGTTATTGCACCTGAAATTGAACAGAAGTTTGACTTTATGTATGCCAGATTTTGTGCTAGAGTGGTAGAGAATAAGTCCTTGACAGCTTTAATTGATGTTGACTCACTGCTGTCAAAGCCATTAAACATTTTCTCAATGGCTGTGTAATTTTCACAATAATATGCCACAGCATCCAACCATGTACCCCACCGTGTGACGACAGGCTGTGGAGGAAGTGGCAGTAGAGGAGCTTCTTGTTTAAATTTCTGCACTCGAAGAGGGGCCTTGATGAATATTTTCTTTCCGTTTGAAACTAGCCTATCTACATCAGGAAAATGTCCTCGAACTTCTTCAGCCACTCTATGCAATGCATGAGCGAGGCAAGTAATATGGACCATTTTCGGGTAGAGGATTCGAAGTCCTTTGGCAGCCTTCTTCATGTATGGAGCGGCATCTGTTACTAGGAGAAGGACATTATTTCGCTGTATTCCATTTGGCCACAACAACTTCATGGAATTATCAAATAGGACAGCTATAGTCGAATGATTTGCTCTTTCGAGAACTTCACAGTCAAGAAGAAATCTCTCTCCAGGTTGATCTTGTTTCAGGGTCCCAACTATAACATTCGCAATATACCGCCCATCTACGTCAGAAGTCTCGTCCAAGGAAACCCATATCTTGTTGTCAGCAACAGATGTTCGAATCTTATTTAACATATCTTCATAACATGTAGAGAGATAATTCTTTCTTAACGTCGATTCACTTGGGATAGGATGACTAGTGTATGTCTCCAAAAATTGTCTGAAGTGCTGATTATGCAATTTCTCTAATGGAATATTCGAAGATACCATCCACTGACACAAATCCTTCGAAAATTCCGACCCATTGTTCGTTGAAGAAGGTGAAGGAGAAGAAGAAGAAGAAGAAGAAGAAGTAGTGGAACTGTTTTTAAACAACAAACTTTGTCTGCTATCCTTTGTAGATAATCTGCTTAAACATTTACCATGTTTAAAAGTTTTACAATGCTGCTGCACAGTAAATCGCTTTTCTGCCGTAACTTTCACGCCACACAACTTACAATAAAATATCTTGCCATCGGTACTAAACACTTTTTCACCAAACTCCTGTACAAAACTACGCAACTTTGCGCTCCTTGAACTACATGTACTCACTTTAGGCATTGTAAAGTCAAACTGAAGTCTTATAACGCCCTCCACATATATAAATAGAATACTTCTAAGCCCTCCAAGAAAGAATGGGATGTATATACCTTATAGTAAGACGGAGTACAATAGGAGAATACCCGTTACACTTGCCTCCCTCCTGCCTCGACTGGGAAAGGCCGGCTTGCCAGGTCATAAATGCTGCATTTCACAAATTTTCGCCTTTGTAACTGCAAGTACAGTCCAGTCAAAAATATGGTTTTTAATACGAACTTCATGTACTTGAACTCTATTCCACATTGAAGCAACAGTCCAGCCTGAAATTTATTTTGTAATACTAAACATTATGGAGCCGAAATTTTACATTATATCAAAGAATTGTTTCTAAAATGACAAAAATATGACCTTATTTCAAAATTATGCCAAAATATGCTGTAAAACCAAAAAAACTCTAAAATATGCATTTATATGCACAATAAAAACGACATAATTTCAATAAGAATGACTGGAAACATGCATAATTACATTTAAAAATACGAATAAACCCTAGGAAAAAAATATGACATGTCATAGAAATCCGGGCCCTACTCATGACTTTCAGTATGACCTGCATATAAGTTAGATTTAGTGGGAGTATAGGAGGTCAGATGGGACAGAGGTGGCACCAAACCAGCAGGCAAATATACATTTTTCTATGGAAATGGGAATCTGAATCATGAATTTGGTAGAGGTTTTTTGTATATAACAGAATCGAATCAGCAGTAAAGAGGGTACAGTTTGCTAGTGATAGGATCTCATACATAATATTAAGAGGTTGCTGGTATGATACCATTTTTCAAATGTGCTACACCCACCCCCACACGCTTTACTTCCTCACGGGGTAGTGCCTCGACTAAATTCAGCGGTATGAGTCTTGTATCCCAGGGGTACACGGGTGTTGGCTCGCTTACGTCGTTTCGGATGCAGGCTCGATCGGTTAACCCCCTAGCACAGGTTCCATCTGAACACCCTCACTGCCTGACTTCTACTCCCTCACTACCCCATTACCCCCACTGCTGCTTTTCGAAACCACGTTCTTACCGCGATCTCGAACCTTCCACCCGGCGGGCTACAAGACCAAGTGCAAGGACCCCTTCCGGTCTCCACGCTTTCTCGAAGCTTCTATCCACAGGTCCTACACCTCCGCAGGCAAGGACAACAGAAGGGATCCCCCCCCCCGAATGCAATGGACTCACCAACCTCCCTTCTGTCCCTCGCAACAAAAGGCCAGTTCAGAGGACCATGATCGCTAGAGGGCATCTCATTTCCACAGCCAAACCCAATCGCTATGCACAAACAAATGAGACACCTCCGTGAAGGATGCTTACGGTTACAGTGCATACCCCAACAGAGGATAAAACTTATGATATGAAAAACTGAGAAACTAGAACACATATTAGATAATTTCCCTAAATACCATACAAAGATTTTGTCAGGAGATTTCAATGAAACTTGTTATATGAATTTAAAAATACCAACATGGATACAGCACTAGTTATAAAATCAGATCTGTCAACATTTATACGCTGGAAACAGGGCACTACACAAATACATACAAAAACATAGAAGAAAGGTGTTTTTTTAACCAACATTTAAATACAAAGTATGATATTATTACCAAATTTTGAAACATATGCATCAACAGCGTAGCTTCTTCGGATTTCTAAATTATTAATTCTGATTCACTCTACTGTACTCCTGAACCAATTCATTAGGAATTTAGAATAAAATATATCTTTACACCAAGAAAACATTCTTTTCAATTTATGATAAAAAATCTTACATAAAAATATAAAAATACATAGTTCTGTACCAGGCGGTTATGAATTTCAGGTAAGATTTCCATGCCTGCAACCCTCTTGCAATCTTTCATTGCCTGAAAAATGTCATCATATAAGACAGAATAGCTTCCAGCATCTCTGCAGCAGTCCTCAATGTTGTGTGCCTCATCCAGCAAGATGACTGCACCTCGCAATTGTAAATTCATCTGCAACAATACAGACATATCTTCAGCAGAGCACTACAACAAACACAGGGTCCAGTAATGTAGTAAGTGAATGACATTTTAAAGTATTTTTTGCTTAGTTGGGGGTGGAGTTCAACTGGGTCAACTTGGCACAGAAGCCAGTGACTGGCCTATGGTAGCCTGCCCCAGGTGATTATGATGATCGAGAATTTGGTGGAATGAAGATTGGCAGGGGAAACTGAAGTACTCGGAGAAAACCTGCCCCAGTGCCACTCTGTCCACCACAAATCCCACTTGACCAGACCTGGGATTGAACCTGGGCCACTGTGGTGGGAAGTCAGCGACTAACCGCTGGAGCTATGGTGCAGCCTAGACATATTGGAAGTAAGTCATACATCTCTTAAGAACATCACGCTTTTGATCATTCCTTGTATTAAAAAAGGGTTGCTGAGCACAAAAATATTTTTTTCTGAGCACTGGCATCATAGCGAAACATAACTTATTGTAATAAAAGAAGAGACACAGGAAACGCATAAATTAAAAGCACTTGGCATCAGAATGGAGCATCTAGTGGTTGTGAAAGATGAAAAATCATTCCACTCTGATGGCAGAAAATGGGTCCTGTATCCATTTCCATAACTGTTCTTTAAAAAACAGTAATTTAATGTAGTGATTCAATAATAATTTGCACCTTCTATCCCTCTAGTTATTTTGTAAAAAAAAACAAAAAAACTATAGACCCATCATAGCAAAACACATTTTTATTTTCTCTAATACAAGTACTTTTACAATTGTATGCACTTTACTGCCAATCATAGAGGTTGCATGGTCTAAGTCATGTACTGCATTCCACCACTTGAACACTGGGATCATGATTTCGAATCCTACTTGGGGCAGGGATGTATATCTGATTCTTTCCTGAGTTGCCCTGTGTAGGTAGATGCCTTGTGACAGGCTGATCCCCTGTCCAAGGAGACATACCAGGTATCTAAAAATAAAATTCTGAAACCAGAAAAATGGGAGGCCTTGGACCATAATGGTCTGTTGTGGCATGCAGGAACAGCAAGACGTACAGTTTGGCATTAGATGAACCGTTAATGGAAGTTCTCATTTCCAGTCCCACCCAGCTGACCATCAAGTCCCACTGGTATAAACAACATTCTTGCTTTTCACACAAATTAAAAATGTTCTTGCCATTAACTTAATCACGAGAGAGATGAAATATTTTTAAGTAAGCTGGCATTCTCACATCCCTATATATAACCATAGGGAACAAAATACTAACATGGAGGCACCAAGAAACAGCAGTAGAAACGCAGAATCTGAAAAAATTAAAAGGATAGACAGGAAGGGAGACAATATGATTGCACAAGAAACTGAAAATGAAGAATGTGTAACCAGAGTAGTGTACTTTAACTTACCATACCACATCATTTACCAAATTCCATTTACAGCAAATATTGTAACATGTATTTGTACACATTCACATGTTCTATGTCATTAAATGTAGCATCTAATAATTAATGCATTTAAATTTGTATTCATACAGGTTTGAGAGTTCATATTTGGGGGGGGGGGATGAAGTGAAACCAGTGAAGGTGCAAACAGAGTTTGCATTGTGAGATAGCTGAGTGATGAGTTCTGTGAAACTGGATAATTTGAACAAGGACCAACATCTGGCATATCACCAATATTCACAGAGCATACAACAGAGGATACTTTCATTTACATACACAATACAAAGCAAAGCAAAACAAAGAAAATCAATTTCTAAGAAGTTACAGTAAACAGGAATTTTATATGGAATTTCACACAAAATCCTTTATAAGGAGCTGAATTTACAAACTTTCAATGTCCAGTATGTGCAATACTGCAGATGGTTCAAAAATAGGATAATGCATTCATAAGACTTTCCATAGAGCTATTTTATGATGCTGTATCAACATCTAAGGTTATGTAGTACTGAAAGAATTATTTGTGAATTCTACTAGGAACGTAAAATTGAATTTTGTAGAAAATCCTGAACAGGACATTTTTTAAAATAACTATTTTTATGAACGAATAAAATATGAAGTTAAATATATATATTGTAACGTGTTTCGTTACTGAAGACGCCACAGAGATCGTCAATTGGTTTATTTAACAACCTACAAATCACAGCTACAATTACTTATCACACAGTCGCGGGGTTTCACTCTTTATAACCCTAATCGCATTAATCTGTTCACACTGTTGCGGGGTTTCACGATTTATAACCCTATGCTCAAATCAGTTCACTCTATCTTCAGTAGGCTACACATATTCACAGTACGGGAGCTATACAAGTCTCTCTGTCTCACACACTCCCAATTACACAGTTACACACACGTCCGGTTCTTCTTATCGCGACGGCTGCTATATTCCAACTCGACTCCCAGGCTGCTGCCTTGAGAACTGTTGATAACGCACTCACTCGTCGGCTTGCTCGGAACTAATTCGGAACTGTCTTCGGCGATGGCCACGTTACAACTAACTT